TTAATGATAATTAAATGTAGACACTGGAAAGAAGTTCTCTTGAGTTTAATGTCTAATCAGGACCCAGTGGTTGGTTTTACAGAAATTTACAATGATGATTAAATGTCCCTTATTTGCTGTTATCCATGTTTTCAAACTGTTTTTAAAGATCCTTACTTGGCGGGCTCGCATCTTTTTGGCATTTAGCTGCTAATGCTCTGTAAACGTGGGCTGCCGAGGCAAAGGCAGACGGCTCTCCAGAGACCAAACCGCAGCCACATATGGTAGACATTTACTTCTAACAGAGTGTGCTTCTTAACCTCTGGGTGTCGCTCCGCCATTCCTTTCTAAGGGGACTCATTTCTAAGGAAGGTTCACTTTCCCCAAATGCAGCAAGTCACCCACATGTGTTGTCCAGCCATTCGGTTGCACAAAATTCATTTTAGACCGCTTGGCACTGCCATGTGGATTGATGAACTGTCTCTCCCTGGACAACGGTAAGCCCCTCTGAGGAAGATCCAGGCCCCGGAGCCCAGTTAGTCAGCTGGTCATACTAGAGTAATAATACTACCTTCTGTGTGTAGAGTGAGGTACAGTCTCTACAGGCTCTTGAAGGTAAGTCTCCTGACCATCTTGTGGCATTGGCCACAATATAATTAGCCAGGATCACAAAATAGTAGGCACTTCCCACAAGAAGAAATCTTGCAATACTTTATTTTCTCCTAAGGTTTTCACTACAAAGATCAAAGCTTATCAAGCTCTTTAGTGAAACTAATTATTATTTACTGTTTAGAATATACATGCAAGGTTTTTTCCTGAGGACTTTATATATATGAACTCATTTAGTTCTCCTAGTAATTTCATAAGGCAGATACTATTAGTGCCATCATTAACCAATAAGGTAACTGAGACCCAGGAAGATCTAAAAGCACAGAGCTAGTCAATGGCCACGTTGAATCCCGGAAGTGTAGCCTTCCAGACTGTGTGCTTGATGAAGAATCTACAAAGATCCCTACTTAGGACATACTGTCAGTTTCTTCAACCAAGAAAAAAAAAGAAAAAGAAAAGAGAAAAGATGCTTACTTGTCCCTATGTGATTTATTTGATTATATTTGAAAACCTTGTCTCATACCAATAGAAGTACATGTAAGTACTACACTAAATTTTCCTGTATTGAATGCATATGAAACTGTTGCATTGACTGATGCAAAAAAATACCCCAAGACTTGAGGAATTTTGTTTCGTGAATTAGAGAAACGAAGGAATTGCCTAGGCATCTGCTGTGTTATATGCTCACATCTGTACATCTTTCTTGAAGATTTCCATATTTTCTTATAAAACAAAGTTCCCTCCCTGCCTGAAACGCTCAGTGTTCATTCTGAACCTGAGCCTGAAAATTATCTAATCCTTTTTAGTGCTTTTGGTTTTCAACTTTGTGCAAGGGTAAGCACCTGCTTTCAATACAATGTTTGACACTTTTTCATGTTTTCATGTTTTTATTTCAGTTGCCTTGCAAACATGCTAGTAAACATCCAACCATAAGTGTAAAGATTTAAAATTCGGGGTGTGTATACATATATCAAGAGGAGTGATGAATTATGTATATTCCAAGCCTATATAAATTAGATTTTGAGAAAACAAGCATCACAGTAGTCAGACAGGTCAAAAATAAAACATTCCATGTGAAACGAAAGAACTATGTTGAATTAATTATCCATAAGTTAACGCTCTCGTTAGAGTGACATATTTATTATTTCTGGGTTTGTGATGTTGCATTAATGCATCTTGACTAACTGTTATAATGGCACATTAAGAAACCAATTCAGGCCTTTTTCTCCCCATTGGAATTTGCCGGCTTTTATTTATGTTTGAACTGTAATAATAGGTTAAAAAACATACACTCACTTCCTTGTGTAGAATGCCATTTTCTTCTGCCCAGAAACATTTAATTAAAGCAGGATATAACTTCAGTAATTATTTTTGCACATAAGGAGTCCAAAATTAATAGTCAATTGTAAGACTGTTTTAAAACTGGGAGACTGACAATCAAAACAGTCTTAAATGCTTTTGTTTATGCCATGAAAAGGATTTAGCCTTTAATTCCCTGACACACATTAAACTGATTTCACAGACTTTCTGTACTGTGTTTCACATAGTCAAGTGGTTGAGGTTATGCAAAATAAACAATCTTGAGATCTTATTACAAATGTTTGCAATTTATGGTGTAAGGAAGGAAAAGAGGAGGAGGAAGAAGAAGAGAAGGAAGAAGAGAAAAGGAGGAGGAGGAGGAGAAGAGGAAGAAGAAAAGAGGAGGAGGAGGAGGAGGAAAGGAGAAGAAGAAGAAGAAGAAGAAGAAGAAGAAGAAGAAGAAGAAGAAGAAGAAGAGGTGGAGGAGGAGGAGAAGGAGGAGGTGGAGGAGGAGGAGGAGGTGGAGGAGGAGGAGGGGTGGAAGGAAGAAGAATAAGAGGAAGAAACCCAACAGGATCCCAGGTTGACTTTTCAGAAATCAAAATAGTTCTGAAATGTGAACATTGCGTTATACTAAAGTATTGCCATCTGAGGATGTAAAAAAGTTCTGAATCTGGAGCAGGGGAACTCGAAATAGATGTTCATTATCAGTTCAGCCCCAAGCAAGGGCCCCATTCTTACTGGGATCCATTGCGGATAATGGGGCCCTTCGCACTACTTCTGTCTCCAACAATCTCTTTTAGAACCCCACCAAACACGGGACTGTAACTGGGAAGGGTTCACAGGCCTGGAAACGTTGGAGCTGAAGGTGAGGATCCTTTACCAAAATTCCCCATTGAGTTTCCACCCAAGCGGCCCGCGTGCTGGGCTTGCCCGCCGTTCCTGGGGATAGCGGGGGAGGGGGGACCCCTGTCTAAAAGGGTTTGGCCCCAGCCGGGCAGGACGAGCCTCCGAGCCTTGGGCCCTGCCTAGCTTGGAAAGTGCGACCGAAGGCACCGAGGCCCTGGGCGCTCCAGGGAGAGGACGGGGGCGCGGGCTGTGCCAGGGCCGGGCCGCGAACCCTGCGCCCCGAGGTCCAGCTCCTGGAGCCCGCGGGGACCCCCCCTGAATCTCGCACCGCCCCAGATTTCTAGGCTGGCTTCTCCTGCTGTGACCTCTGAACCCCGTCGAGGGTCCCAGGACGTGACAGAACCCGCATCCGGCGCTGGAGCTTGTGGGTGCACACGCCCGGCCCCGGCGCCCCCACCCCTAAGGCGGCTGCCCGGGGCTTTCGTGTCCCCTCCTCCCCCGGGAAGATGCTGCCCCGCGGGGGTGACAGCGGGAGCCGGGCCGCAGCGTCAGTGCGGCCTCCCCGCGCTATGGCGCTCGCGCGAGGCTGCGGGGGACATGGGTAGCCACGGCCTGGGCGCCTTCTCCTGCCAATTCGGGGCCCTCCTGTCCGGGATCCCCGAAGTCCCTCCCCCTTCTGGGGTCGTCCGAGGGCGGCGGGGTCTCTCCCCAGTGCGCCCCGCCAGCCAAACTGTGGGCCCGCTGTGCGGGGAGGATTGCGGGAGCCGCTCCTCGTCCTCCCCAAGCTGGACAAATGAAGGAGGTGAGAAGGCCTCGGGAAGGGGCTTCCGCCTTCGTGGTGTGGCTGAGTACGGTCCCGGCAGCTACGCTGCGGCACCACCAAACCTGGGGTGCAGGGACCGCGCGGGGAGGGAGGCCAGCGCCCCCCAAGTTTGGATATTCGAGAGAAGATACACATCCATCAAGAAGGGGGAAAAAAAGAAAGGACTATCCCGGATATTTTAATAGTAACAGGAACAAAGATGACGCGAACCCCGTCAAATGAAACAAGACTGTTTTTCATTCAATCGATCGCAAAGTGTCTTCGAGTAAGAGCTTGGCACTTATTTGAAAGGTTTAACAGAAGTGGAGCAGACACATTTTCGTACTGACAACACGTCTGGAGAGAACAGCGTCTCCGTTGGCTTAAAATAACTTAATACGCTAGAAAAAATATGGCAAAATATAAATAATCTTGTTTTCATGGAGAACAAATAGTTTACAAAGCTCAACCGCAGATACCAAAGTTCACCGAGAAGAGCTTTTCTTCTTTCTTGTAAATTAAAAGGAAAGAAGGAAGAAAGAAGAAGAAGAGAAAAGAAAACACCCCTTGAGGAGGCTTTGCTTGAGGACTAGGGTACAGCTGCTTCAGTCCAAGTTGTCCCTCCCGTTTAAATAGCTACACGAATGGAAACAAACGACACAAGGAGCTCCCTTGGATAGCTACACCTTGGTGAGATACAATGCGAATGTTCAAGGTCCGCCATCGAGTCACACATCATAGCCAAAATAAACTTTGTTCGAGTGTGTATCCACATATTTTACACACACACCTAGCGCCTGTGCCTAGCGGGGTGTGGTTGAAGGTGGGTCTGGGCTGGGGGTGACCGGGAGCGCAGTCCTGGGGTTGGACGTCCGGGAACAGCAGGAGAAACGCGGGGGAAAGAGAGACGTGGGAGGGGAGAACCCTGGTTCCGCGCCCAGGTGTGGCGGAGGAGGTCACAGACCCAAGTTACTCATTGCGGTCTGCTGTCTTCTCCTTTCCTGGTTGTTTCTGCCCGCCTGGCCTCTAGCTTCTTGAGGGGATGAAAGTGTACTTTCCCCCCTGGTGCCTTGTTTTTTTCTCTCTTTGCAACCCCACATCCAAATGTAGGGACAGACGGGTGTCCATGGCGCCCGGCAGCGCGGGATGGGTCGGTGTGGGGCGCCGGGGTCCGGGGGAGGGAAGACGCCATCCGTGGAAGAGGAGCCGCATGCAACCCGGAGCGCGCCGTCGGGGGCCCACCATCCCGCCAGCGCTTCCGGGGGACTGCTGTCCGTGGCACCCATTTCTTAAGCGTGTCTTAGAGTATCCCCTCCGCGCGCGCACACACTGGGCGTGTCCCCTCCGCGCGCACACACACCGATTTCCGCTCGCTCGTCTTGCTCCACCAGGCACGCTGGCTTTTCCACACGAGGCCCCGTATGCGGAGGCCCCGCAGACGGAGGCCCGCCTCTCAGATCAGATGTCTCCCGGTGAAGTGAACGTCGCGGAGGAAGGGCCTTTCCAGAACCCGTGGGCTCCCGCGCGCTCACAGAGCTCGGCTCTGCCTCCTGCCTGCCTTCTCCGCCCACGTGGAAAACACGCAGACGCGGGTGACCCCCCCGCCCCTTCTCCAGCTTCATCCGGGTTATTTTCCCGTGTTTTTTTTAAAACGTATAAAATATCTCGTGGTCGCTTTGCCCTGTCGTTCTCTCGCCGAATAGCAATAAGAAACGCGATCCTTCCCTCTCTCGCTCTCTCTCTGTTGACACGAAGTCTGACTTCCGCGCGAGTCCGGCTGCGCAGGGCATCCACGCGGCCCCGCGCTCCCCGTGTCCGGTCTCTCCTCCCCCCGGTGGGATGGCGCGGGGCGGCGGCCGGGCGCGCGCGG